AACTTTTACATAAAATTGTGAACGTTTACGAACAATGCTAATGTTATAACAACTAAAGTACTGTCCTGACTGTTCATGAATTTTTGACAACATTATTATGAAAAGCCATAATTTAGACTGACTAAACAAGTTCAATAAATCGTTAAAAAATCGACGTATAGAATCATAACTTTTTTCTATGGTTTGAAACAATAGATTTGTAACAATACAGACGTTTAATTATTGAGCATAGTTCGCAAAAACAACAATATTTTTTAACAATAGTTGCACGTCCATCTTTTATACGTCCATGGTATTATCAAAGTATAAAACTCACTTCCTGACCACACAGTGAATTCGCCCTCACTGTCTGCATTCAAATTAAATTTAGAAAAGTTTGATCTACAATATCATTGTGCAGTTTATTAACTTATTTTCTTCACATTTACATTATTGGAGTTACTATTATTGGTATTACGTACAAGTAATTTTTTAACTATCCGTATTGCTATTTTTTATTTTTTACATTTTTCAAATGCTAATAAATAAAATAAATAAAGTTAGGTTTTATTAAAAAAAAAACTACAGTATAATACTTTTTGAAAATGTGAACATAGATAAATATAAAAATTATTTTTAGTTCTTTTTTTCATAATTTAAAAAAAAAAATACTTAAAAAAGAGTGGCGGCGGTGGGGTCAAAGATAAAAAAGTTCAAATTTTTGGTTTTAGTAGACAAAACTACTTATGACTTAAAAATAGTTTTATGAGTCACGGAAGACTTTTTTATTTGAAGTATTTTGAAGTATTTTTAGATTTTCAATCAGCCACATAAGTTATGAAACTGATTGAAAATCTAAAAATACTTCAAAAACTTATGACAATATTTTTTGGGATACAAAAATAATTTCTAATTGATTTTTTCTTCAGGATAAACTAGAGAGTGCTAGGAAATTATTTCTTTTTTTATCATAAATTAAAATTTTAGGAATAAATCTACTAATATTGTCGAAAACAACATTTTTTTTCTAAAACAATAAAATATTAGTCTTCAGGTTGTTGTTTTTTTTTTATTTATTATTTTTTTTTTTGGAAAATTTATATTTCTTTTTAGGTAAACTATATGTAAACACATTTTTATCATAAAATATATTTCAGCATATATAAAGTAATAAATAAGTATTGAATTTATTTAGTGTTTATAATTTACTATTTATATATATGCGTACATTTAAAACTATTACAATAATATTTTAAATCCGACATTAATATAAGTATATTAATAAATTAATTTTTCAATAAGAAACTTAAAATAGTTTTTGGTATAATAATTATTGTGATTTTTGTAATTAGATATATTACCTAAAAAGGGAAATCATAAAAACTGTTTTTTTGGGATAGCAAAAAAAAATATTTTCGTTGATAAAATATAAATGAACCATATTAGCGCAATATGACTTTAGGCTTAAATTTTAATCCATCAGCACAATATGACTTTAGGCTTAAATTTTAATCAATCAGCACAATATGACCTAAAGCTTTGAGTTTGACATAAGGATGAGAGTAAAAAGGTTTGAGATTGCGCGATGACGTATGTAAGTGTCGTATCGGAAACATCAAAAAATCCTGCCGGCTCCCTGATCATTATGATTCATTTATTTTTATACAGATAATAATAAAAACTTTTAGTGTAATAAGGTTTTAAAAATCGCAAAGCTATAAAAAAAATTTTGAAATCTTGATCTTTGGTGAAAAATAAGCTATGGTTCCACTATCAAGTACATAATATTCCTCGCTAGAGTAACAAAACTTATATAAGCATATTAAATCCCATTGAAAACATGACAAAACAGCTGTTGTAAAAAGCAAGTTTAGTCCACAAGTCACACTAGAAGCTATTCAGTAGAAGTTTAGTCCACAAGTCACACTAGAAGCTATTCACTAGAAGTAAATAGCTTTCTGTGTATTCTGTATAAAAAGTTGATTACGAAACCTGTTTCAAAAGTCTTTCATTTCTTACTGGGAAATCCTGTTTGTAAGTTAAAGGAATTTATCCTTCCCTCCGTTTATTAGTACACGAGATACCCTATTTAAACCAAGTTGAAACAAAGTAATTCTTATTAGAACACATTTAGAATGCTGAAATTTTCAACGAGTAAAATGCTGGAATAAAGTGCGGAAAATTTCTCCTAGCCCTAATCATATTGCTTCCCCAACCCAAACCCTTAGCCTATGTAGCAGCACTCCTAGGCATGTTCTCCAAAATAACTTGATGTTTTTAAAGAAGCTCCCGAGCCTTTAATCTTATTTACGCATTTTCCTCCTGCATTTTACCTATTCCCGACAGGCATTTGTTTTTAAAAGTTACGATCTAAATGTATTTTAAATGTCTTTTAAACGTCTTTTAAACATTAATGTTTAAAATGCGTTTAAAATACGTTTAAAACACATTTAGAACGTAACTTTTAAAAACAAATGCCCGTCAGGTTGTAAATTTCCTTTTACCGATGCTTTCAACATTGTTTTTAATTCAGCAATGTTTTTTATCTAAAACATCGCGGCGGAATTTTCGAATATGATTTTTCGCCTTCAAAATTTAAAATGGCCGATCCTATTGCAAATAATTCGATGCAGCTAGTAAAGGACGAAGCTACTTTCTCACCTCACGACTTTATTAAAAGTAAAATCAAAAAGTTAATATTTTATATTTGTTAAGCTTTTTTTTAAATAATTTTTTTTAAGGTTTGAAATTTTTAAAAGTTATGTTTTAAAATAAAGAACTTTCCTTAATTTTTTTCACGATTATGTTAGCAACTCCTATTTTAAAGCTCTGAACATCAAATTTATTTGTTTCTGTATAAATACTTAATTATCAAGTGTAGTTACACTCATAAAATTGCAAGAAGTATTTGTATAGAATTTGCAAGCACTTTAACTAAGAAATAATGTAACTAAATTAAATTATAAATAAATAATAATGTTATGTTTGCTAAACTTTACTTAAAATGACTCAAGATACTAGGATTTTCTATTTGTCAAACATAAGTTTGAATTGATTTCAAACATAAGTTTGAAATCAATTCAAACTTATGTTTGAAATCAATTCAAACTTATGTTTGAATTGATTCCTTCTTGTATTAGCAGTTAGTTGCAGGTCTATGTACATTTTCATATATAGAGTCATTCCATGCCAAATAGAACAGATTTTTATGAGGTTCCTCATAGACTATATTAGATTTTGCTGAAATTTTTTGATTTGTACATATACATAAAAGAAGTAAGTTTTGAAAATTTCAGATCATATCTAATATGGTTCTGGAGAAAAAATTATTTAAGTAATTGGCTATTTTGCATAAAATTTTATTTTCCAAGCAAAAAGGTTTTTTTTATCATTTTAAACAGCTAATAACTTTGAACAAGTTGGTTTTATATTTCAATTATTTTAAAATAGCAAGTATGTTATGGATATTCTTAGAATAGCAAAAAGGAAAAAGTTTGGCATCTTTGCTTTTTCCATAATTGCTGGCTAGAGTTGATATATTTTTTTAGGATTTAAACTTTTGGTAATTTTAAAGAGCTTAAAAATCTTAAAACTAGTTAAAAATGAATCCAAATTAAATTGCCTGTTGATATACACGTGATGAATAAATATTTTTAAAAAGTTCAGTTGATTAGAGACCTGGATTTAAAAGTTATAATTCATCAAAATGAGTTGAATCAAGATTTTTTAAAAATTAAATGCAAAGCATCTGTTACTTAAAATGGCTATTTTTTTTCTTCTTAAAATTTCATATATACATCAATCGAAGAGTGTTAATTTATAAAAACCATAATTAATTATGTGGACTAAAATAAATAGTTGCATTGAATTATGTTATTTAATATAAATTAATAAACCCTAATTTTATAACGCTTTTTAAAAAAAAATCAGACAAAATGATTTAAAATTTCTAAATCATTTAAGTGATGAAAAAATTATACAAAATTTGTTTTTACAAAATTTTACAAAATTTTTTTTTACAAAGTTTTACAAAATTTTATTTTACAAAGTCTTTATTTTGGTGGAACTGATAAATGCAAACTGTAGACCAGAAACACCTCCTACTGGAATGCACCTCTTGGGTGTTAACTTACAAAATTGTGAAAAAGAAGATATTATATTTTTAAGAAGATGTTATTTATTTAAAACTCAATATGAGGTTCTTCCATATTGACTAAAAGAAGTCTTTTTTTTAGATATGTTGCTTTATATCATCTACTTTAACTCTTTCTTTCCTGAGCAAACCTTTGATATTCATTGCATTGATAGAATCAAACAACCTCTGTAATTACATTTTTGCTTAGTTTTCTACTTGATTTTGGAAAAAGTTTTGATAATATTCCATACTGATTTCTTAATTTTCTGGCTTGTATTACAGATTGTTTTGAAGTCAAAAAATACTGCTGAGTTTTTTCTATTGACCAATTGTGGAGTGAGTGTAAGGATTGTAATTTTTTTTGATTTTGGAAATGTTTTGTCAAATTTCGACTTGATTTGGGCCATAAATTTGACTAAATCTTTATTTTTTTTAATTGTTTGAAGTAGCTTCAATTTTACCAAATGCAGCTATTTCTACATCTAATACATTGGTAACAGCCTTTTGTGTAAGAGCTCTTATGTTATCAATAAGAGTTTGGTTTGATCACTAATCATACATAAATATATGTAATAAACAAACTTTTAATAATACTGAAATTTATTTATCCATTCTACTAGCTTATCAATATAGTTCTATAACAAAATGAAAATAAAGTAACAGGTGCAATAAGGCTGTTATCATTACCCAGGCTTTCACAGGAAGATGTGCAATTTCACGTCTTTATATGACCACGCAAGTTACATTTTGCTATGATGGTTTGACCGCGGCTAATTCAAAAAACATTCTTAAAAAGTGAAATTAATTACATCAAAACTTCTTAACAAATGTTTTTATATTAGCGATATGATAAAGTAACAATTTACTGAAAAAAAAGTTTTGTTTTTAAATATAATTGACAGTTGTATATATTTTTTTAATTTAAAACATATAAAGTTGTATATATTTTTTAAATTTAAAACATATAAATTGTTTAAGTGTTCATTTCTAAAATAAATCTTATTAAAAAATAAAAAATTGTTTTGTTTTTATAAACGATGACATTCTACGACTACGAAAGTCTCTTTAACGAATTAAATATAAGAATGATTAAAGTTAATGCATTTAAAAAGATAAACAAAATTTCGTTAAAAAAAAAGTTTTAGAAAACCGTTACAATTTAATAAGTTTGATCTTAAATGCTTTTATATTTTCCAAACGCTTTTAATGAAGTAAAAAAAAAACACTTCTAATTAATTTACAAAAAAGTATTTATAAAATATTTTTTTATTTTATTTATATAACTATGTATTTTTTATGAGAAATATTTAACTTTTGAACATATTAAATAAATAAAAATAAATAAAAATGTTGAAGCAAAGATTGAAAAGGTTTTTTAATGCGTAAATTAACTAGACTAAGCAATTTTGTTTGATGAGTTTTGTTTTAGTTGCGTTATATATATATATATATATATATATATATATATATATATATATATATATATATATATATATATATATATATATATATATATATATATATATATATATATATATATATATATATATATATATATATATATATATAATTAGATGAATAAAAACAACTGATTAGCGGGACTTAAAGTTTCATGCCTGAAGGCAATCATCAGCCGTTAATACAAACAAAAAACGTAAACAAACCGTTACAAAAACGTAAAAATTATTGTAGAGTGACATCTGACGTTATAAACAAATCTACATAAAAAACAAATCAAAAAACAAAAAACAAAAAGCTGTTATAGTTTACTAGTCCCCTGTGTCAAATAAAGATAATAGGAATTTTTTTGAATGTCGACACTGAGATACGATTTCGTTTTTTTTATTCAGTAGTTTTTTTCCATTATGCAATAAAATTACATATTTTTCGTAGAGACAAAGGTGGCATATTTTTGTTGCTAGATTGTAAGGTTTACAACGTTTGACAATTTTCCATTCTATAATGGGTTTTATGTTTTGGTCTTTTAAACTCCATCTTTCCTTAGATAGTTCTGTGTCATTTCTATATTTAACTGATACAAATGATTTGAGATGGTTTGCTTATCTTAGTTTAAATGGTGTATTACTAATGCCAAAATATACTTTTTTATTACGATAATGATGACTGGAACTTACGGTTGCTTGATAGACAATATTGTTAGATAAACATTGATTGTTCAAAGGACAAAATGCTTTATCTACGCAGTTACATTGGTTAGTTTTTAATTGATTTTTTGTTGTGTAAAATTTTGAAATTATGCGAATTTATGATAGATTTTAGGTTAGGCATGCAACTGTAGCTAATCTTAATAGAATTTTGGTTGAATATTTTATGTAGCTTGTGACTGGCTGGAAAATGTAAGTCAATAAGGGCTAGAAAACGGTTTCCTATTTTTGTTTTGATGTTTAAGCTGAACGGAATGGTTATACCAAATAATATTACGTTTACGTTGCTTTTTTTGTTGATTTTGACTTGAGATTATTTGTGGTTGGTAGGTAAGGTTCGATTTGTATCCCAATTTTTTTAAAGCCTCTTCATACGGTGGAATAGCCTTTTTAAAGAAATTTTCATTAATTGACATGGAAGATAAACTTTGTTCAATATTGTAAGGGATTGCTTTTATTATGCTTAGAGGGTGGTTAGAATTAGAGTGGATATACCTTATTTGATTATCAGGTTTAAAATATGGTTGAAACGTATCGTTACTTAGATTTAACGTAACATCGAGGTAGTTAACAATTTTTAAATTAGATTGAATGGTGATTTGAAGATCGTTTTTTTTAAAAATGAGTGTTATATGCTTTTTGATTTTTTCCATTTGCTGACCGTTTTTGTTCTTGAATACAGCAAGACCGTCGTCACGATATAGCTACAGTTGCATGCCTAATATAAAATCTATCATAAATTCGCATAATTTCAAAATTTTACACAACAAAAATCAATTAAAAACTAACCAATGTAAGATAAAGCATTTTGTCGTAGATAAAGCATTTTGTCCTTTGAACAATCAATGTTTATCTAACAATATTGTCTATCAAGCAACCTTAAGTTCCAGTCATCATTATCGTAATAAAAAAGTATATTTTGGCATTAGTAATACACCATTTAAACTAAGATAAGCAAACCATCTCAAATCATTTGTATCAGTTAAATATAGAAATGACACAGAACTATCTAAGGAAAGATGGAGTTTAAAAGACCAAAACATAAAACCCATTATAGAATGGAAAATTGTCAAACGTTGTAAGCCTTACAATCTAGCAACAAAAATATGCCACCTTTGTCTCTACGAAAAATATGTAATTTTATCGCATAATGGAAAAAAACTACTGAATAAAAAAAACGAAATTGTATCTCAGTGTCGACATTCAAAAAAATTCCTATTATCTTTATTTGACACAGGGGGCTAGTAAACTATAACAGCTTTTTGTTTTTTGTTTTTTGATTTGTTTTTTATGTAGATTTGTTTATAACGTCAGATGTCACTCTACAATAATTTTTACGTTTTTGTAACGGTTTGTTTACGTTTTTTGTTTGTATTAAC